CTGAACCTGACCTGAGTGGTGACAGCAGGGACACATTTTTTCATTTTTTTTTTTTTGTTATTTTTAATTTTTTAGTCATTTTGTCCTTTTAACAAGTTCAACAGTGTTATTTTCTTCATTTTTTGGGTTTTTTTTTTTTTTTGCCGCTGACACAAAGGTACCAAACAGTGTACTACCTTGGCATTATTTTTTTTCAAATACTGATTTCAATACATTTTTTTAGCCCACTTAATCAATCAATATGATAACTACTAGCCATTTAACAACTTTCATATAATATATAACATCACTTTATTTTCACACATATAACCTAAATATAGTAAATATCAAGCTACCTGAAATACAAGTTTTCCAAAGTACAAGTAAGCTATTATTGCTATTGCTAAGATTTCCTTCACGATACAAGAAAACATCGAGTTACGAGTGATCAACCGAGCTCCATTTTTCCACTCGACACCCTCCCTCTCTCTCTCTCAATAGTATATTTGGGCTGGAACAAATTAATTAATTTTTTTTTTTTTTTTTAGTTTTTAGGAACAAAGATGTCCTCTCAAAAAACTTCAAAAAAAATCTTTTTCTCATATCTTTTGTTCAACTTCAGTCCCAATCATAAAGTTTAAAATTCCGAAACTAGTCAAATATCTGGTGTTGAATGTTTAGCCTTTTCATTTACTAATTAGTATTGTTTGTTATGAGAGTAAGCCATAAACAACACTCGGTTGTGTTACAGACATATATAAGATATATATTAAAATACTGATTTCCTGTATAGACTGACTTACATTCACTTCATCATCTCCTGCTGCGACAGCTGTAAAAAAAATTACAGCCAGATATACAGTATGTTAATACACAAATACATGTTTTTGTGTGTCTTTTCACAGCAAACCGGCCACAGAGCGCAGCAGCCAGCAGCTCCCAGACAGGAGACGCCTTAGGGAAAGCACTTGCATCGGTGAGTACAACGCCAACATCCGCACAGGACTGATGATATAAAATGTTATGCTACAAATACCTGGTTTTGTGATTTTAAACCCCATCTCTAATGAAGTAAATATAGTTTGTCAGTATCTGGGTCAGACGTTGTACATGTCCCTGATCATTTTTTTTTTTTTTGGTCTTTTTCCAGATTTATTCTCCAGACCACACGAACAACAGCTTCTCGTCCAATCCTTCCACTCCTGTTGGATCCCCGCCCTCCCTCACAGGTAAACACACGCAACCTCTCAGGTCCTTTGAAAACACCACATATACAGTACATGTCACAGTGAAACAACACCAGCAGCAGCAGCAGCAGCAGAGGCAGAAACTGGGCCAGTTTCTACCAAAGCCAGAAGCAGAGCTGACTTCAGACTTGGACAGGACTCAAACCAAAATGACCATTTGAGGCAAACTCTGAGGTTCTGTTGTTTAACTTAAGTCCTGACCGTGTTTTCAATCAACTCGAGCCACGAGTTGAAAACTTCCCGGCTCAAAAGAAGGCCTCGTTCCAAATCATTGCATTAGAGCCTTCTTTTTTATATCATTTATTTGAATTTAAGTCAAGACATAAAACAGTAATAAAAAAAACCAAAATATATATAATCCACACATGGATACATTTTTTTCTATCCAAACTTGACTTTGTCCATATTTGCAGCGACCGGGTTTAAAATACTTTTGACAAGACACAAACTAGAAGTAGCAACACTGAGTTGACGACTTTCAAATTCAAAAGAGCTGGACTTAACACAACCATGTTTAAAACTGTAACAACAACATTTCTAAAGACTTTGGACTGGACTTTGAACAAGAATGTTGTGGAAATGACTTAAGGTGACTTGAGATTTGACTAAAACTGATTGGACACAAAAATGTGAACGACTTGAGATTTGACTAATATGCCTTGAGAAATTGTCTTAAATGACTTGGATATGACTAAAACTCTTAAGACTTTAGGCACAAAAATGACATTTTTTTTAGACGCCTTCTAAAAAAGTACATTTTTAGGGATTTCCGATTGAACCGGTTGCCGATATCTGATATGCCGATATTGTCAAAACACTTAGTTTTTGAATCCGACAATCAACATATATTGATAAATTGTCAATTTATCAATATATGACAATAATGACAATAATTATCTTTCACCTTAAAACTAATTTCAACTAATTTTATTTCAACTTATCAAGTTTTTTAATATTGGAAGAAAAAACAATGACGATACCTACCAGTATCGCATACGTATGCTAATATCGGCTAACATCCGTTGGCTGATAATATTGAACAGTCATAACATTTTCTTTACACAGACATGACTCCACCCCTGAGTTTAGAATCTGAAAACTTACCAAGAGTTAGAAGCACTTTTCCCCATACTTCTCCTCCTCTTGTTGCCATATTTTCTTCTGTACTTACTCCTCGAAATGAAAAATGAACTCCTAATAACAGCTGCGTTGGCTTTATCTCTAATTTTCGCTGTGGCACCCACCGTTGGATATTTCTCCGCCACGCCTGGTGACTGATCGCTTTAATTACGCCGCCACTTCCACAAATTGTTCACAAACCTACAAGCTCTGCGAAACACTTCTCCTTCTCCTCCTCCTTCCCCTCATCATTATAGCTGTCTGAGATATTGCCTGCTAAAGCATAATTGGTGTTTATCATTGTGTCAGACTTACTCCACTTTTTACAAATTAGAAATGAAGCCTATTAGAGCAAACTACATGCAAATTGATATCCAGGGCTAATTCCGCCGGGGTGTTTTACAACGTTTGGACCAAGAATAATTTACCCCGTCGTTTAATACACATATTTGTATTAGCACATGAATGTACCCAGGTGATTATTCATTCATTAGCATATGGAAATGAGCATGTAATATGGATAAAGGAGACGAGGGGAAAAGAGAAAAGGCGGTGGAGACGGAATGAGGAGACAATAAAGCGGAGAAACGGGGGCTAATGAGATGAGATCAGAGTTACAAGGGGGGAGAGCAGCGAGAAGAGGTGCGGGTGAGAAGGACAGGACTTAAGATGGAGAGGAGATGCGTGTCCCTCGTTCGTTGTATTCCAAAAAAACAAAAAACAAAATTGGATCCAGAGATTTTTACTCATGCTAACCTTGTGAAAACCTGTTAACAGTGTGCTCTCAATGTGTGTTTAGGGCCAAAAGGTGAAATGTTTAAAATTCAAACAGCTGCACATATTGGTAATGGTCGATATCGGAATCAGAAATTGATTGGCCAATATTGATATGTCATTGATCGGGATGATCCAGAACTGAAGAAGAAGCCTCTTGGACGAGAGGTGAAACGTCTTCAATAAACCCATTTTGTCCAGTTGCCCCCAATGTAACTATTTTTGGATAAGATGACCTAGAGCATTGTTTCCCAAAGACTGGGTCGCGACCCTCAGGTGGTTCGCAAGAGATTTTTTTGGGTGGGTCGTCTCGCATCATGTTGCCAAGGAGTTTACGAAGAATGTCTATTGACTTGGGTCGCGAAGGTTCGTGACTTTTAAAATATTGGTCCCCAGAAAAAAAAGGTTTGGGAAACACTGACCTAGATGAGTAAGAACCTCCGGACCTCGGACCTCAGACATCCTCAGTGTTAACAGCTACAGTACATACCTTCCCTTTCCCAGCCGTAAATATAACGCACATCTGCGATCCTATGTCGTTTCCTCAATCTCTGTGTCTTTACTGTAACATTTCTGTTCAAACTTACCATCTCATCAAACGAACATCCTTACTGAAGTCGCTCTCTTCCGCGGCCTGTCCTCCGTGAGCCTCTCGTGCTAATGCAAATTTGCGCGTCTCCGTCCCCCTCTCCCTCTCTTTTATCTTTCTACCTGCTAATGAGGCCTATCATCGTTTCAGATTCAACCCTTCAGAGTGCTGTCAAAAACACAAAAACACAGACACAAAGGCTTGTTTATCCTGCAGAGGGCCCAATGCTAATCAACCACTTGTAGCTTTTTCAAAGACAAAAGCCTGATATTAGCATTTCTGCTACGAGATATGTTTGTTTTTGTCTTTTCTTCTTCATCTCGCCGTCTATTATGCCCGAGCACAACGAGTGGGCTGCATGAGAGACTCCTCTCTGGTGGTTGGTGTTCTCTTTTTTATTTCGGCACATGAAAGGACAGAAATATTTGGGCAGTAATCCACTCTTGGACATGTATCCTCCTGTGCAGTGTCAGAGGGGGTTGTACTCCAACACAGATTACACAGGATTGTAGTCTCTGATGGAAAACACAAAAGAATCTTATTTTGTGATAAACTGAGTCTCCCCCGTCTCCTGTCGTAATTGTATGTCCTCGTCTCCTCTCTCCTAGCTCCAAGTTCAGCTGTTTGGTCGAGGAATGGTGGACAGGGACCATCTTCACCAAACTACGAGGCTCCACTTCACTCACTGGTAGGAACATGCCTGGAAGAAGTACATTTTCTTAACGGAGTACGAGATTGTATGCTGCTCATAGACCAGTGTTAAAGTTAGGAGAACGTGGGCCACAAACGGCGACCAAGGATCAGAATCAGTACCAGAAGTACTTTGAATTACAAGAACTTTGAATTACAGCACGCCGCACAAACTTTAGTTCAGCCAGACTGTAGTGGTTTTTTCCGATGCAAGATCTTTGTCAAGAGTTTTGACCAATATTGGAACGAGACCGATCCTGAGTATGGGATCAACCAATCCCTAATTTCAACAACGGCGGATGCTTTTCTAGCCCAATGTTTGAGCCATAGGAGTGAAGCTTTGGTTAGAGATTTTGACTGGTATGTGGCCCAAATCCAGTATTCAAAACAAGGCCCACAAAGTTTAACCAAGAATGGAGTGGAATCTAGTGTGAATAAAAGATAAGGGAGCCACATTTTGTATTACAAATTTGAGATGCCAAATCATATTTATCTGACCCATATTCCGGTCCCATCGTGGGTCAAAAAGAAGACCAGTGTTGTTGAAGTTTGTCCAGAATGTCTACAACATACAAATGGGATTTTTCACTTTTTTCCCTATGTTCTGCAGCAAAGTCGTATTGAGGACCGTCTGGAGCGTCTGGATGACGCCATCCACGTACTGAGGAGCCACGCAGTGGGGCCGTCCACGGGTATGCCTAGCGGCCATGGCGACATGCACAACCTCATCAGTGCTGCACACACGCACAACGGAGCCATGGGTGCTCTGGCCAGTGGATACGGGACAGGACTTCTGTCAGCCAACAGACACTCCCTGATGGTAAAATCTTCATTCTGGATAACGGGAAGTCAAAAAGTTTTAAGACAAAAAGAAAAAAAACTTTATTCATGAAAATAACGGAGCTGTTTCCCTCCATCTTCTCAAATTAAATCTGGTTCCAGTACTCCTTTGAACAGGTTTGCTTTCAAGTTTAGGTCAAAAAACCAAAGAACTTGACGAAAGAAAACCCAACACAGCTCAACACATTTTAGACATGAAAAGGTGACACCTTTTTATTTTTCGAATTTGTCTTAACATTTTTAGACCTTCCCTCATAGGCTATGACGTCATCCAGATGTTTTCTGATTGGTGTTTTGTGGCAGCTGATTACAGCTGAGGTGCTTGATATAACATTTCCTGCACAAGGCTTCATTTTCTGGTGACTTCTCTCTTTTTTTTTTTTTTCACTCCTTGCAAACTGGACGTTCTGTGGCGCTGCTGCGGCTGTTGTGTCTGCAGACATTTAAAACAAGATCACAGCGCAGCTTTAAAAGTCTAACATGGCCTAATAACCAGTTGAGTTTCCCCTCAAACAACAAACATCCCCCGCTAAAGCCCACATCCTCTGAAACGTCACGAGGTCATTTACACAAACATCATGTTCAAGCTCAGACGCGAGGAGAGGAAGAGAGGAAAGAAGGTTGGGCTCAAACCATGAAGGAAGGCGGTCATAATATTTTCCACATTTGAAGGCCCTTTCCTTTTTTAATTCAACTTGAAACAATAAACATAAAGAACCAAACAGCTGCGTGACATAAGGAGAGGTAGAACAGTGAGAGACAGAGAGAGAGAGGGAGGGAGAATCAGGATGATAGAGAGACAGAGAGAGAGAGGGAGAGAATCAGGATGAAGAGACACTGGCTCTGTATTACACACGTTTGTTGAAAGCTGTTTTTACATACACACACACTTTGTTTTTGTGTGTTTTCTGCGACCGATCTTCACAAAGTACCTAACCTTTGCTATCACAAAAATATTCCTCATTTTTATCCTCACTCTCACTCTAATCTGACCCTAATTCTAATCCTAACTCCTTCTCCAGCCTCTCTGTCCCCTCTCACCCAGTGGAGACATATTGTCCCGGTAAGGACAAGATGTCCCCCACAGCACTATATCTAAAGCATATTGTCCCGGTAAGGACAAGATGTCTCCACAGCACTATATCTAAAGAAGTGTTGCCACAAGTATAGCTCCACCAAGTAGACACACACACACACGTGCATTCAAACTAAGCAAAAGCCACAACAAGCTGCTGCAACAATTTCTAGTTCTAGACCGGATCTCTGAGTCCTTTCCTGGAGAAACGTGATAGAATTCATGATGAAAAGCGGAAAAGGTTTGAGCCTCTTAAAAACGTGGCTGTCACTTTAATGGAACGCACAGGAAGTCTCATACCCAGAATCGACTTAATGAAATTTGATCCCGTCGAATCGAAGTAACACAGGCTTTGATTTTACAACAAATATTAATTTCCACTTTTTTCCACAGTTGGAGCTACATTAAAAAAAAACAGTAAAAAAAAAAAAAAAAAAGTTCTCAACAAATAATAGATTTTATTCTTAGTGGTAGAAGTAATAAATCAAATAAAGCAAATATTCTTTGAAATATACATACATCAATTACTAAACCGTAAACACGTGCATCAGGATTTATATTTAACGAAAACAAACTGTATTATTACTAAAAATAAGATTTTAATCAGCCTGGAATACACTCCTTAGCTTAAGTGATTTTATGAACTGATTAAAAGTGTTTACTGTCTGCTCGGCTTCAGGATCGTAGTATTTATGTGTACTCTAAATGACTTTTCCTCTTTATGTGGAGGTGGAGGTGGTTCACACCCTCTCTTCCTCCTCCTGAGACACACACACGGAATCAAATATGGCTCTAGGTTTTATTAAACAACTTAACGGTCGGCCTAAGAAAACATTTGAGAGTTTACCTTCTGCCGAAGGTGATGTTTTAACAAATGTCTTCTAAGTTGGATTTCTGACACGATTCCAAATGTGTGTTTTCATACGTGTGAAACCAGCGGGAAAAGAATAATTAATTCAAAAGAAGGATGTGGAGTGAAAAAAAAAAAAAAAAATCAGTGTTTACTTTGGATAACTTTCACACACACACACACACTTATGAACTGTTTAGTGTTTATTTATTAGGATGTGTGTGTGTGTGTGTTTGTGTCTTTATTTGGGCAGTGGATTATTGGCAAAAGAACTGAGAAAGTCGCATTACTTAAAGTCTGAGCACACAAGCGAGTATGAGCGGTGGAAAGCCGTCTGACTTTGCGGGGACCAAAACATGACAGCCCACCTTAATATCGGTCCTTAAAGGAAAACTGGGGACCTAAACGACGGACTGTCCTCCTCATACTCATACTATATATCATATATAGTATATATATATATATATATATATGTCATACTGTGTATGACTTCTAGCAGACCAAAATAAAATATAACTCTATATATAAAAAAAAAATCATGGTTTTAGTATAGCCACTCTTAGCTAACCTTAGCTTCAAACCAAAACTACATTCAAAAGACTTGGGTTTTATTCATTTTCTATTAAAGAGTCGCTTTAAGAATCATGAAAACATTTGTATTTAGAGATACTGGACATTTTGCACACGTAGCTGCATGAAAACATTTGTATTTAGAGATACTTGAACTGAACATTTTGCACACGTAGCTGTTTTTTTTTACCTAAATAGAACATGACCCAAAAAATGGTAGCAGCTAAAACGCTATAGGTACAGCATGGAAACAGGAAGTTCAAAACAATACGCAGAACTCATTAGACTCAGACATTATTAAAAACAATAACTGGTGGAGGCCAAAACAACAGGAAGTGGAAACAGTGACGTCACCGTGAAAATGAAGCCATTGTGTTCGTGTTTTCTCTCTCTCTCTCTCTCTCTCTTCTTTCTTACCTTCCCTTTTATCATTTTTCAAATACCTTTTCTACGATTTCGTGGCGTTTTCTCGTCTTGCGTCATCTCTTCGATTTCGTACAAGGTTTTTTTTTTTTTTTTGACATGCACATTGCATTTCCTTTGAAATCCTTCCACTTTCTTGTTATTTTCTCCTTAACCTGGACTCTTTGTGTCTCCTCTTCTCTCTCTTGCTGTAAAACACACACACACACACACTCACAGAAAGACACAGCTGTATGTAGTTTGGCAGCGTGTGAGACAGAGAAGCCTGCAGGCTGAGGTCATAACTCTGGGAAAACAGGTGGTAGACTGATGTGGGAGAGAGAGTGAGGAATTCACTATATACACTTAGACACATATAGTCATAATGCAACGCTATTAAAGTAATAGTTCAGTTAAAGTATGGCTGTTTGAATGTCTGGCTTCAAGCAGCCACAGAGAAAATACATAATAGATATAAACGTCGGAGTGAAGCGCTCGCCCAATAAAATCGATCTGAGCTTAAGGACCAGAAACGCACACTGCATGCGTCAGCAGCAAATTACTCTTTTGCGGCGGGTTAGCCATGCTTAGGGTTTTACGTGAAAGTTATCTCTTTGCTGTCCCAGGAAGAGAGCATTTTTACTGTTACAAACTACTACTGTAAAATCTGCGAGCTAATATTGCTATAGCTTCCGGTTTTTTTTTTTTTACATTTTTTTACTGTACTTTGCTGCTGTAAACACTTTGATTTTCCCCAATATCTTACTGGATTAGACGTGACATGTCTCTATCAAGGTCCTAAGGTGTAGTGAAAATAGGAAAATATATTTGAAAATTAAGAAAAAAAAAATGCTATATAATATTATAAGATATCAGACCCGAAAAGTTTTTCGAATGTTAAAATATTCAATTACATGTAACTAAAAGTTGAAAGGTTAATAGATAAAAAATGTTACCCTGTTAAACTGTCATAAGTACCTATTGCTAAAAAGGTCAAAAGCAAAATAAACAAAACAGTAACAAAAGTTAGCCGAAAAAATGCTAAAACAATGCCTAAGGCTAAAAAGGACGACGAAAAAAAACCACGTCAGTCTGTAATCAGAAAATATAAACCAATAAACCAACCAATATTTAACAAACACCTATTGATAAAAAGCCAACTGGGAAAAAATAGGTGAATTAATCTGTTCCTATTATCCATCTTTTATCAGGCAGTGGTGGCTTACTGGTTAAGGAAGTAGACTTGGGTCCGCAAGGCTTCAGGTTTAAGTCCACCAGCTTGGCTCCGTCCCCATACACTGCTGCCTGGGTGCTTAAAGCTGCCCACTGTTGACTTTGGTGATGGGTTAAAAGCAGAGGTCACATTTGGTTGTAGACAGTGGTGTGCCGTGTCCCAATGACAACTAGTTCACTTTCCTTCCTTTAGTTTGATTCAACCGTGAAACAGGCAAAAAAGTTTTTACTGCAAATAAATGTCCCTGTCTCTGTTCTACATCCAGTGAAATAGAAGATCATTTAATTCACTCTAGCTGTAAAACACAATCATGTCTTTAATCCTCAGGTTCTCTCAGTTTTAAAAATGTCCCGTACATCTTCACACATCGATAATCTGAAGTGAATTAATTCGGCAGTTTTACATTCACTAACTCCATTTCTATGTTGTATTCTGGCCCGTTAATCTGAACTGGATCTTCGAACATTCCGGGCTTTTGAAAATGTCCGTTCACTTGTGATGTAATGTTTACACAAGAACAGATTTTTCCCTCTTTGCTCGTTCGTTTTCCCCTTTTCTGACATTTCACGCAGAACACCGGTCTGATGTCCATTCGTGTCACAAATTTCTTTCTAAGTAAAAACAAAAAATGGAGAGAAAAAACATACACACGCGGAGACTCTGGAAAATGTTGCTGCACTTTTCCCTCAGTGGTAATCCAACATCAACATTAAGAGCCCTATGTTTGTGGGTGTGTGTGTGTGTGTGTGGAACTGCAGGTGCTTTCTGTTTCATTTTTGCACAGCGTAGACTCCAGACAACACAGTTTTCTACTAAAAACACGAGTTTTTATCCCCCGGTTTTCTGTATTCCATAACCATTCTTCAAACCATTCTTTTTTCTTCTGTTTGTACTTTATCCCCCGGTTTTCTGTATTCCATATCAAACCATTCTTTTTTTCTTCTGTTTGTATATTGTAGGATTGTAAGGATTTTCTTTCAATATTCCAATATTTATTTCAGAGCAATATATTTGAATCTCCTAGCTAATCCAGATGAAGACATTTTCCGTCCCGCCCTGTATACATGAATGAAACTGTCTGTGTGTGTGTGCGCACACACGCGCGTGTGTGTTTCAGCAACAATAATCAAAAAGGACATATGAAAATTGCAGAAATAACTGGGTCAATTGAGGCTGAAATATCCCAACGTACAGAAGAAGTGAATTGGCAGAGTCCATTTTCCGTGTCTCTCAGACAGACACACAGGTCCAGACTGTCTTCAACAAGAAGACAAATGTGTGTGTGTGCGTGTTTGACCCAAAAATTCAATTTCTTTCTTCTTCACTCACAGCACTTTTAAATGAAGACATTTTTTTCCACTGAAGGTTCCAGACAACAATTACTACAGTCGCAGGTCTTCCTGTCTCATAGTCAACGCTGTGTACCATATTACTAGAATCCAGTTGTTTAATCAGGTATTAAACAGACAAACTGTCCTTAAGACACCTGCACTGCCTCGTATTCTGTTACGGTCCTGGAGTACAGCACGTTCCAGCACCGTTGAGGCGTTGAGGCAATTCAAACTCTACTGGAAACGAATCTTTGGTGGCTGTCGTTCAGACTTGGATTTGAACACTGAGAAGTCAACGACTATAGTGGTTTAAAGATCTCACCTCGAGTTTGTGCCACTTTGTAAACCGACCATATTTTCTAATAGAAATCCATCTGTCTACATTTTTATTCATAGCTGATTCTTGCTTCCCAGTTGTTGCCATCATTAGGTGTATGTCTGCGATTTTGTAAAAGACGCAAGACGCCAGCTGGGCTTCTTCGTTTTAAATGAGAGACAAAAAAAATGTAGGTTTGATTTGAGTTCTAAAGGTTGAGAGTCAGAGTTCGAGTCACAGAACACAGGTCTGAAGGGATGTAACTCGAAAAAAGTTGATGTCATGGCCACTTTCAGCCCTTGGCATCTTTGCTGAATAGCCTAGGTTCAAAGGTCACGGAAGTTCAAGTTAAGGATTTGAAGTCCTTAGTGTTGACCTTTAGGAATTCAAAATGAAGCTTCCGTCACCTTAACCAACCCAGCCTTAAATCCCTGTTCGGCAACAAAAGTGTTGCGTGTTCTGACGGTAACAGCTTTCTCACACTTCAGGTAGATTTGTTGTGTTTCACTGAAGTCTGATAATACAGCTTGTTGTTGTGGGAACAAGGACACCCTGACATTTAGTTGGGTTATTTGGATGCTAATCAGGAACCTTTTTTTTTTTTTTTTTTAGGGCGAGGAGAAACCTATCAACAATATCCACCGTATTCTTTTTCACAGTTTGTCCTTTCTGTGAAGAAAATAAATACCACAAACACAGATGTTGGAGTGTCCTTGAACACAGCTCTGACAAAAAACTACAACAAACCCCCCCACTTCCCCCAAACAAGTATAAACAGCCACAAAGTGATGTTCAACTCAAGGTCCAATTACATGTTTTGTTTTGGGTTTTTTTTTTTTTTACCCCTGTGATTTACAGCCAGGGTAAGTGTTTTAATTGTTGGCAGTGAAACCAGAGCTTAACAGTGATGCGTGAAGAAACTGTCCACGTTTTTTTTTCCGTTCCCGCTACTGGAATGAAAGTGAATTATTGTCACTGATGCACAGCACATGATGAAGTTGTCCTCTGCTTTTGACCCATCACCTTAGTGAGCAGGGGGGCAGCTCAAGCTGAGGCTCAGTGCACCTCAGTGGCACCCGCAACCTTCCGTAGACAAGTTTGCATCCTTTGAGAAAAAAAAAAAAAAAAGAAAATTCAAACAACTATTTAATTTGATGTAACTATAACAAATATTACACCATATTTACTACATAAATTGCACCTTTGCTTCACAATGTACTTATTCTTCAGGTTTTGTCCACGCTAATTTGAGCTAATTTAGCAATTATTTATAGTATTGTTATTATAATGGCTGTTATAGTTAACCAGGCATTAGTTGTTCCTGTGTTAAATTTTCCTCATGGTAAATATTATATTTTTATAGTATCTGAGCTAAACTTTTGTGCTAACTTCCTTTTTGTGGAATGCAGTTATTTGGACCCTCACATCAGTGGCTATTTCTAGAAAGGGGTTCACACCGTCAATCACTTCTACTTCATTTTTCTCCGACCTAAATCAGCGATATAGATGATATAGTTCGGGCCCTTTTTCCACGAGATACGCGTTTGTAATTTATTTAGATAATTCTGTTTGGTCTGTCTCCTCGCCTTACCTCATCATTGAAGCAGTGCTTGTTAAAATGTTAAGGCCTCCCATAAAAAATACATGGCACGCTCTCACTGTCTTCCTCTCTGCTGCCATGTCATGTTTGAGGATGCCGGTGATGATGAGGAACAAAGATTTAGAGAAGAAAAGGCAACGAGCACAAAGATAAAAAGATTTAGGGCAAAACACACAAACACACACACACACACACACACAGAGAGACTCTGAGAATCAGGTCGACATTTTGTGACATTTGCGTAAAGGCACCAAGCATGTGGTGGAGGAGACTTTTCTGGATTAGTAGACTTTAATGCAAACTCAGGGGTTTGATATTCCAGTTCAGACTAACTATATATTTGTACTGTGGTCAAAACAACAAAAAAAATTCAACTGCATTTTCTGATTTTAAGAAGTAAATTAACCTTGACGTTGCAATGTTCTCATAAATATAAATGAAATGCAACAGTATTGAGCTTAGAGTTAGCCATAAAATAGGAGAACGTAAGGCCAAACATGTACAAGGACGAGCCAAACTTGCTTAAAAAAAAATCAAAGCACCACGGTATAAACGCAAATATTCACAAATAAATTAGCAAAGATATAATATCTCACTTAATATCGAAATGATGACATATCTAAAGGTTAACATAGAATAATATTTGAAGCCAAAACAAAAATACCATTCAGTCACATTGGTCATTAGAAAACACACAGAGAGAAATCGTGTTTGACGTCAGTCTAAATATTCTGTCCAGACTGGTTACTATCGCCCAACCGTCCCACCGAGCTCAAGTTAGGGAGAGAGAAAAACTCTCAACCACAGGATGCAATAAGAAAACTGGCAACACACACATACACACACACACACACACACACACACACACAGAATGAGTCCCATCTCGTGCCAAAACAGTGAGTCCCTGCTGGAAGCTGCTCGATGCTCTGGGAATTAGAAATCCCACAATTAAACATATGGGCATTAAGATAATTGTCAGTTGTGCTGCCTTCCTTTGTGCGTGCGTGTGTGTGTGTGTGTGTGTGTGCTTGGCTGAATCCATTCCATCTGTCTGATTCCCACATTCACACACATTCTCCCCACAGCAGTGGCTTAAAAACTTACAATAAAATCAAGGAAACACACTTAAAAGAAAAAAATATATATATCTACTAAATATACTTGTCAGACATGAGGATTTAAAAAAAAAAAAAAACCTAAAAAAAATCTAACGCCTAAATCCTATCTTGAATCTTACGAGGAACTCTCAACCTTAAAGGACCTCCTCCATTTATGAGGACCTCAAGAAATGTCCCCATGAATCCACACGTCCTCATCTCCAACCAAACGTCAACAAACGTGTATTTTTAAGGAAATGTGAAAGAGGGACAAGAGGGACCTGAGGAAAGAGAAATACAGGGGACCTACAGGGATACAGGCATTAAGAGGTGGATATTGCCCTCTACTGGCCAACGGGAAAACTGCAGGATCTAAAGAGAAAGAAAGATAAAAATGTAACAGGGGGAACATAAAGGAAAATGTAAAACTTCATTTAGAGCAAAGAAAGAGAGTTAATAATTGAACTCGTTTATAAATGAACCAGCTGCTTCTTTGTTATGTTTGCTAATGAGGGATTAAAAACAGCTGCTCTTGCTATTGACAGTAATTTAGGTCATGGATTATTGTGGTCGCGGTTTTAATCACGGCCAAAATCTGGACGAAGGTTTCACACATGAAAAAAAAAAAAGAAAAATGAACATAGCTGTAATGAGAATGACTTCTCTGGCCTTTTTCTTAGTTTTGTGACATTCAGTACATTTTTAACTTTAGCCATAAGGACATTTCAGGATTAAAAAAAAAGTTCCCACGTTACATATAAGCGACAGAAATTTGAATCTTAAATACTCAAATTGTGTCTGTATATTTGCAAATGTCAATACTTACATATATGTATTACATCCCTGATGTCAATACTTACATATATGTATTACACTTACATATATGTATTACCTATCTCTCCCTGAAATGTATGCAGGTACAAAAAAAATGTGTTGCTTGTTTATTTGTCTAACTTGTGTTCGTTTTCACAGGTGGGTTCTCATAGAGACGACAGCAGTGGCGGTGGCGTCGGCGGTGGCGGCTTGCGAGGAGCACACTCGATGGCCGGTCAGGTTTCTGTGCCTCAGCTGCCTGTTCAGTCGGCCACTTCACCGGACCTCAGCCAGCCTGACCCATACCGTGGTACGTCACAGTGCACACTTGTACTAATTTACCATCATTACTGCAAGATCTCCAAAACTGCTCTAGTGATATTCAAAATACGTAAAGAATATCAGTAGCTGGTAGAAAAAAACGATAAAATGGTATGTTGTTCTGGTAGTGACTCGAGACGTTTCTGTAAGTTCCACCTCATTCTGTAAAGTGAGCGTTATTTCCATCCTGACAATCGGTTGATGTGTGCAGGACTGTACGTTCAACAAATTTATGAAGCAGAAAATTGTTGGTCTTTAAAAAAAATATTGGCGTTTTAGTTTGCGTTCAGCTTTAGTTTTATTGCCCCTTCTGTGTGTGCGTGTACATGAATGCATGTGTGTGTGTGCTTGTGTTGTGAGAATATGGAGTGTATATAAGTGAGCAGTGCAGCAAATTAGCCCTGAGTTGGTTTTAAAAGGCTGAAAATAAGTCTGTTGGCAGCAAAGTTCAGCGAACAGGAGCAACCACAGCCAAGTGTGTAATGAGTGTGAGAAACACACACATATCCACACACACACACACACATTTGAGTGTGTGGAGGCAGTAAATAAAGGATATTAAAATGTTTTCCTGGCAGGAAAAGTTCAAGCATTGGCAGAGCAACGCTTTCCTCAGGTCTTTCATTTTTAAAAAATTTATGAACAATAAATGTTGGATTTGAATTAAATTTATCTTTTTATGAGATTTTATCTCTCTGGGGGGAATATGGGTGGTTTATATATCTGACTACACATGCATAACTTAAATGGGTGGTTCGCCTAATCTTTGCAGAGCACGGAGGCAACGGAACATAAATCCTGAGATGTGAAATCACTTTTGGACGGAGATTTTTATGATCCAGAGCTACTGTGTTTTCAAATGGTTTTTATATTTACTTCAGCAAGGAGAAAGGGATATTGTTTTGATTATTTGACTTTAACAGAATGAAATACACCTTAACCTTAGATTAGTGGTCAAAGTCAAAATACTTATATTATTTCTTTTTCTTTTTTTTTAAAATCAAGCTAAGGTTTACAACATCTCATCTGCTGACCATGCTGTCTTCAGATTTGTTTTTTTTAACAGCATTAATCACTACAACACATCAGTTTTCTCTGGCTACAACGAAGCCCACGGACTCAGAGACATAATAATTTTAACATGTTCATTTTTTTTTTTTAAATTGATCAATTTTTAACCTGACCACAAACGATGACATTCAGATACAATTTTAACAATTTTTAATTGGAAAACATTGGGGCCTTTTTCTGAAAATGTCCTCTGAGACGGACCAAGTGATTTTTTAAAAATTATTTGGAGAGTTGAAAAACGGTGCATTTTATACACAAACACATGGTGTTTGTGCGGCGGCAGGACACACGCACACACAAACCAAACACAAGCCGTCACTCAAAGCTGCTCACAAAATGCCTCCAGTCAGGAAAAAGGAGATCCAAAATGGCCGACATTTGTGTGTGTGTGTGTGTGTGCGTGTTTTATGTGTGTGTGATGTTGGCAGCGTCCCAATAGCAGATCCATACAGACGCGGAATAAAGAGAGCACTGTTCAGACAGAGAGAGAGGGAGATGCTGCCATCTTGGATGTTGACTTGAGATTTTTTTCTTTTCTGCGTTGATTTCATCTCAGCAACGGACTTTATTTTGCGAACTTACTTTTCTGAATATGTTTATTTTTTATTTTATTTACACTTGTGTAACACCTAAATGAAAACTCATATGAGTTGTCATTTAGCATGCTAGCATGTTAACAGCTACAGTGGTATCTGAAATAACTATAATAATAACGATAATATATTTAATTTCATAGGCGCCTTTCTCTCACCCAAGGACGCCTAAATGTATATTTTACGCACAGTATTATTAATAGATTTTTAACCCTATGACATGTACTTAATATAAATACATTTGTTTTAATTACAGTTCAATTTAACATTTTTATCCCCTTTTTTAACTGAAAAAAACACATATTTTTATATCTGATATATATATACACATATATATTAGATATAAATACATTTTAATCTAATTCATCACACAATATTTTGAATTAGCAGTTAAGAATATAAAACACCTTGTAGAGGAGAACAGCAAAAGAAGAAAGTTACAAAACAACTGTTTTATTTACTGAAGTCATACAATGGTTTTTCTAGTCTGTGTTTTTGTTGAATCTTTGTTTTTTTTTTAGTCAGTGGTCATATATTAAGTAAGTGGGACAGTGTGCTCTGAGATGGTCATTATTTTTGGGAATAAAAAAATCCTTACAGGGTGAAGCAGGACGCTGAGGCAAATGGTCTGCAGCCACAGTTTTTTGTTTTTTTTTTGCCAGCACTTTGCTGTAGTGGGAGATTCTGCACCTGCTTCTTTTAAATAAAACCACAAGTGTGACTTTATTAAGAGATTCCAACCTGCACATGCAGCACTCTCCAGTTTTCATTGTCACATTACGTTTTGGGTTTATTCCTGGAAGTGAAACCACAGTTTTTCTCCTCGGAGTTGAAATAGCTCGTTTGTCTGTTTGTTCCAGAAAAAACATACTCATGTGTTTTCTAATTTATCTATGCTGCTTTGGTTGTTTTTTTGTTTTTGTAGGGTAAGGGAGATATTCTAAAATTAAAATTTTTTTTTTTTTCCTGAAACTTGTATAATAATGGCTCAAGTTTTAAGGTTTACAAAGGGCTCCAGAGGAAGCATAGATATGAGCCACTGGAGCACAGAGGAACTCTGAATGGAGGTCTCTGTGGAAATGGTGTTAGTTCTGCTGCTCGTGAACATGTTTTCAGTCGTTAGGGTTAGGTGTTTATTAGATGGACTACGTGTCAGGTACAAAGTTTTCATTGGTCTCAAAGAAAAGAGAGATAAATATAGATAAAATATATGCAATTAATATATCATTTATTGATGGACAAATACCTCAACATTCTCAAATATATAAGGAATTCCTTTACGGGGGTCCTCGACTTACGTCGGAATTTCGCTCGTACACTGTGAGGCAACTCGATAGTCACTGTAAGTCGGAGCTCACATACATACGTACATAAGAACTGACCTACAATAACACAGTGGTAATATCATGATCTGGGACAAAAACCAAAACCAAACATCAGAAAAGTCTGACTTCCCAAAAAACAACACAAACGCAAGAAAGCAAATGGAGCACAGCCCAACAAATGGCGTATATAAACAAAGTCGTCCGCTCCGCTAGTTGCGATCTGGATGCCATGCGAAATGTGTTTAACGGTGCATGTTGGACGATGGAACGAGGTTTTTTTAAATAAATAAATATAGTTGTCGTCGACTATTGACGAACTTGGTACTAATACTATATACAATTCAGTACAAATTAACTTTGAAAGTACTTTGAATTTGAACCAATCAGGTGTCAAATCGCTTCACAAAGAGATCAGTATGAGCCAATAACAGCAATATATATAAGTAGGTTCAAACTTTTCTTTTTTTTTTCTACATTTAACCCATTTGTCCTCCCACTGCAGCTCTGTCTGGAGGCCTCCAGGGCCAGAGCACCTCGTCTGTCAGCTCTGACATTAAGTCTGAGGATGAGGGAGATGAGAACCTGCTACAGGACACAAAGCCGCTGGACACCAAGAAGGAGGACATCGATTCCAAGGATCTCAAATCAATTGAGAGGTCAAGATCTAGGTAACACCGCCAACTCACAGACGTTCGCTTCCATCAAACCTCACAGCTGGGCTGGGACGCAGAAATTCCCAAACACACCCTCGGCTCTGAGTCCTTCTTTGTTCCACTGGCTATTATTTCAAATTAAAACCCCATCCCTGACAGACCATGTCTGTCAGAGGTAAAAATGATTACCTTGAGGAAGAAGCCTTGAGGGGCCACACATTTTTGATTGCAGTTTGGACTTCCAGTATAAGACAAGATAGCAGATGTAAACACAGCTGTGGGTCAACATCCTCTACATTTGTTAAATTTAAGTGACTAAGAGAAATAAGAATTATGGATATAAAGTGCCAGACTTAGAGATCAGTATATTTCAACTTACTGATAGAGATAAACAGAGGACCAAAAAGTCTATTATGCAGTGGTGTAAAGTCACTGGATTTTATTTTAAGTGAGAAAGTTTCAGAATTGTCTAAATCCTATTGTGCATTAGAACAGTTTACATAATAAAGGAGCACTTGAATCAAGTCATGATCTGATATAAAAATATGAAATAATAGATGCAATTTTTGCTGATCGTCATCATGACTGTGACGTTTGCTGGTTCTAGCTCCTGAAGGCCACTAGGGGGCATGCACAACTAATGTAGGTCTGACTAAGTATAGCTTCCTCTCTTAGCCTCATTTCAACTTCGACCTATTTTTAACGATCCATTGTTTAAATAAGTCATGTTTGGAAAGATTGGACTCCGGGAAGGACCTGGACTCAGGTGTGGTTTGGGACCCAGCCTCTGGACTTTGATGAAGTGACCAAGTGTGATGAGAAGCAGTTAAATAAAAAAATAAAAAAAACACAGAGACGAAGATGATCTCGGCCAATCAGGGAGCTCTCTGCCCTTTTGAATTTCACACCATTCAGGGGAGCTTCCTGTTGGACGCAGACCTCCAGATTGATTCTGTCTGTCTCTCCACGGTCTTGTGCCTGGATTTAACTGTTTGTCACACAGGAGAGTAGAGCCCACAGTCAATATTGTCAAAGAAGAGCTGCTTCCTACTGAGGACCAGGTGGACAGTTTTCTGTGATCCAAAAACTAAAATCAAACTATCACATTAAATTTGGCCTCAACATTGGTTTCCTGTCCTTTGCAGCTGAGCAGCCTTCATCCCTCCAATTATGAACTAAGGGTTGTCCTTTGCAGCTGAGCAGCCTTCATCCTTCCAATTATAAATTAAGGGTTTTTTTTATCATGTGTAATTGTCTTTACCTGGAGGATGAATGAAATCAGAAACATTTGGTTCCCAATCCCTAAGATTTTTCATGATGTTGGCGGTCATGATTTTAACAATGATGATGTTCACTGTTTGAAAAATAAGTACAATACCCTTGTATTTAAACACGTGTTCCAGTATTAATTGTTAGGCAGAGTTGGTTGTTGTTAAGACATTTATCTTTTCTAAAACAAAACGCATAATGACGATTTAGTGAAATTTAGAAAAGTCTGCTGTTAAAAGTATGTTGACTAGCGTTAGCTGTGGACAAACACAACGGTTTCACACTTAAGTAAGTGTACTTACAGTACGTCTGTAGTAAATGGTTGAGTTGTTAATATATCAAACCAATATTATTGGCCAATTTACAAATTGAAAAATTAAATTTGCAGTTATTAGCATTAGCACTGACTCCTAAGAAGTGTTGGCATACATATAACTGAATGTACTTATCGTAAACAAAAGAAGACTAGTACACATTTCTAATGAAGACTTTGCTACTGTTAACACCTCTAAACAGTGAGGATCAAAGACAAGTACAAACATATTATGTTCCGTGGCCTCCTTGGAGATAAATGGACCAATATAGAGGTTCCGGCAATGACAAAAAACATTTCCTAGAAAAGTCCTACAGTTTAGAGTTTAGTGTTTGACTAGCAACCTGAAAGTTGAGAAGGGAAGTTGTTTCTGTTCTTTCTTAAGGCCTGAAGGTACAATAGCAACTATTCAGATATAGTGTGTACAGTTTGGTCACGTAAGGATGAAGTCAGGGGAAATATTATAAAGTTTTAGCATGACTGAAATAACTGGCTCTGAAAGCCAGTATATTAATTCAACAGTGACGTTCTACCTTTACCCAGCCAGTCTGTTTTGAGTTTGGATCATAAAAAAAGACGTTAGCCGGGGTATTTAATCCTCAACCCCCCACCTCCCCACCTCCCTATTCTGTTCCCCATTGTACCCCTATTTGGTCATCGTAGCAACAATGATGATGAGGACCTGACGCCCGAACAGAAAATGGAGAGAGAGCGGGAAAGAAGAATGGCCAACAACGCCCGGGAGCGCCTCCGTGTCCGTGATATCAACGAGGCCTTCAAGGAGCTGGGCAGGATGGTCCAGTTACACCTGAAAAGCGACAAACCTCAGACCAAGTTACTGATCCTGCACCAGGCTGTGGCGGTCATCCTCAGTCTTGAGCAACAAGTCAGAGGTTCGAAGGGTCATTTATACAACTTCAGCTTTCTTGTTTATTGCTTTTTTTTTTTAAAGTATTGTACCTCTAAATAGTGTGTACAGATCTATTGCTGCTCTGTAGGAAAATTGTCTTTTAGGTAGAGATAAATTAGGACAATACATAGACAACAATGAGTAATTTGCAAAAGTCTAAAGAAGGACACCAGTACTGCTCTAGAGTCTCCAGGAGAGGGCAGCAGTTACCCCATTGATTTAGTTGAAGCAGGGCAAAGTTTTTAGCCTTTAGGTTTTAATATCACTACTGTGACTTAATCAGACATGACTTAGTCAGACATTTTTGACCCCGTTTTTTTCCTTTATCAGACATGACTTAGTCAGACATTTTTTTCCTTCCCCCCTTCTAGAAAGAAACCTGAATCCTAAGGCAGCCTGTCTGAAGCGGCGCGAGGAGGAGAAGGTGACTGTGACATCAGATGGGACTCCTCTGTCATTGGCGGCTGCCCACCATGCTGCCACCATGGGCGACGGTTCAAACCCCATGGGACAAATGTAAAAGCAGCAACATCTCCTTTACCCTGAATGGTCAGAAGATTTCCCCTTATGGAAAACTCTGCTACTGTCCATTTACCTCTGAGCAGAATTTCTTATATTTCTTTTGAGCTGCTTTCGTAATGCTACTGCAAAGAAACAGTTCAGTCCTGGAGGTAATGAGGGCAGATCATAATGTGGGAATAGTAACACAGATCTTGATATGTCCCTTGACTAAGTGAGTTTCTATAGTTTGGGTTGTTGGTTGTTTTTTTTTTCTGAAAAACAACAACAACTTTCCATTTAACCGAAAACTCTCTCCTGCAAAACTTGAGAGAGAGACTTAAAGAATTTTAAATTGCTGCACTTGTTCACCCGTGTTTTTAGTTTTGGAGAATCAAAAGCTTCATTGAAAAGAAGCAGGATTAAGCACAGACCAAGGAACACCTGGGTTCTTATCTGAGTAAAAACCGAGCGGTTACAGAAACGCTGGTCTGTGTGAGTTTCAGTTCATTCAAGTCGCAACAAAGTAGACGTAACGAGATCTTAAAAAATGTCCTTTAATGACTGATAAGTCTATTTGACCATATACTGGCAGAGTTTCTTACAAAACTTTGGTGAAGCCATTGTCCTCAACAATACCGATAAGTCCCTCGCAAGCAGTTTGACAATACAGTGCTCCCTCTATATCGCGGCTCTACTTCCCTCAGTACATCGCAGATTTTTTTTGTAACCGTTCCGCGAAAGTTTCCGCGGCTCTACTTCCCTCAGTACATCGCGGATATTTTTTGTAACCGTTCCGCGGAAGTTTTGCTATATCCCCATTTATATAACTCTCTGATCATTTTATACGTAAATAATATAAAAACTATCTTGCGGATTTTCCCTTTTCGCGGCGGGTCTTGGAACACAACTACCGTGATAGAAGAGGGAACACTGTAGTCTCAGTTTGTTAGTCGTAGGCTTATTTACTGCCCTGTTCTCAGTGGGCCTGGTCTGACGTGACTGACCAGAAGCCTTCACAAACACATGGTGGGCTTTAAGTTTTACTGATCGTGTATTAGAGCAACAATTAGAAAATTAAAGGGTGTTAAGAACAAGAGCAAGGGGGAGCAATGATAACTTAGCATGATGGATATTATTCAGGATTATCACCAAATCACCAAGGGTCAGTAACTGAAATGTAAAGAAATCATCTGGTTGATTTTTCAGGACGTGTCTTTGTTTGTGGAATTTCTGTTTAACGTTTTCACATTAAACCTTCCTTTTTTTACCCCTTACCTTCAGGTCTAAGGTGTCAGAGTTCATCAGGACGATGACCGACCACTTCCTTTGACGTCGTTTCCATGGCAGTCCAGCAATCAAATTACTTCAGCCTGACCAATCAGCCTTTTTATTCATCTATCATTTATTGTCTACAATCACTCTGCTCATTTTCTTCTTCTTCTTCTTCTTCTTCTTCTTCTTCGCCCTTGTGTTCGCCTTTTGTCCAGAACACAAACTGCAAAGTTGCATCAGTGGTTTTCATCGCTTTGTATCATCAGCAGCAGCCGGAGTGAACCGGATGCTGGGGTTTTTTTGTGTGTGGAGATGTTAAAAAACACTCAGCCGCCGTAAATACAGCAGCGACAAGTGGGATCGTTTCATGCAAAGTGACTCTAACGGACAACGTCGTCGACGGAATTCCTCTTGTGCTCCTTGTTTATATCAGCATTCCCTGTTTTAAATAACAAAATGTTCTCTCTATATAAATATATATAGTACAAATATATATATGAGAAAACAAAAAAAAAAAGATAAAAACCTTGTTTGAAGAAGTTCAACTGGATGCAGGACGTGTGGAGGCTAGGGTTGTCCAGGATGGATCAAAACATATCACAAAGTGTTTGAACTCCCCTCCTCCCCCCCTTTTTTTTAAGCAACAACACTGCGCAGCGGTTGTCAAAGGCAACATTGGCGCATCTCTGACTGAACGGCAATCTAACGCCACACTGTGGACGAAGCTGTGCCTGATCTCCTCCAGGATGCAAGAATCAGATCGAGACAAGCAGAGATTACAAAGCTACACAAACGGTGAAGAGAAAGTTTCCGGGGCAACGTTGCAGATGTAGACTGCATACTCACTGCACATCCTTTGCACATCAACACGAAGAACGGAATAATACCAGAAGAGATTTTAAGGAAAAACCTGGTTGCATCGATAGTCCCTTCACACAGGCACTGCTCCAGTGGGGTTTCAGGCCGTGACCCGTATTTTGAATTGCACAGGCAATTAATGCTAAAACATATTTGTTAACTGTTGCATCATCAGCAGGTGTATTAGGAAGAAATTGTCAATAAATAGTAGAAGCACAACACTCCCATGAGTAAGGTAGAACCACGATCTCACTGGGTTCCGACTGTCCTGTTCCCTGGTGCAAGCGTGGGCTGATTGACTGAGCTCAGCAAGTTTTTGAACTAGTGAACGCCTGCGATCCAATAGATCTACACCAACGCTTGCCTGTGTGAATATGCTACGAGCGATAGCAAAAAGAAGTTCGCAATTGCATTTTGACTATCATGAAAATCGAAATGTTGGGCGGGGCTAAACAAAAAGGGACTCAAACGTACCCTTCAAAAGCATTCCCTTCAAAACGTTTTAAATACTAAGTATTAAATATCCAATTATGTCAATGTATTTTTAATATTGTACCGCAGCAAAATGACGATTGATGGTGATGATTTAGTGTCTACACAACCCACAGCAGTTCTTTTCTTAGAGACCCACAGCCAAGCAAGGCAAAGAGGAAGTAGAGTCGTTTCTTGAACCAATCATCTAGCGGTTTCTGAGGAGGAGTTCTGAGCAGATTCCACAGAAAAGACAAGGAGAAAGAATCATGCACTCATTTCTAAGTGTACTTTTAATATAAAGTAAATGCTTTTCTGGAACCTTTTCTCTGCTATCGCTGACCTTGAAACATCAAGAATGTCCTGGCAGAAACATCAAGACTATCTTGGTAGGAATGGCAGAGACTTCGAAATGGAAAGTCGGACCAACAGAAGAAGCAGGAGATGAGAGAAAAGAGGGCTAGACTGAGCACTGAAGTGAACTCGATTTCTACATTTAGCACATTCCCTAAAATGCAATCTACTTCAGTCAAGTGCTGCCTATACCCTAAAGGCCTAAACTGACTGTGAGAGATGGGGTGAGTTAAGGAAGAGCGATAGTAGGATTAGGGCAGGGCCTTAATCCTGAGGAATTAGAGTTTTGAGGGAGAAAAAAAAAACAGAGAGTCAGAAGGTCCAGGTAGAGATTTCACAATATTGGAAGTGAGGGAACAATCACTGGGGTGAGGACGGCATCATTTTTTATTGGAGGGCTCCTTGGTTTAACATTTGTCACTCCACTCCAAGTACCAAAAAAAATCAAATTTGGTATTTGTGTCTTACTAAGTAGGAGGAAAAGTTGGTATGTTTCAGAAGACCACAGTAGTCAGACACAACAGTTAGAAGGGCACGTAATTTCCTTGGTTCAACTTCTGTGTTTTGTTCTATCCAGGGTTGGGTCAGAAAACAGGAATACCTTTAGTGTGCTACCGTGAGCTGCATCTTTAACATCTATAACACAGAAGTCTGACACGTGGTAATAGACAGTGAAAATTTAGGGTCAGAAGTGACATCAGGAGCTCGACGTAATAACACAGAAGTCTGACACGTGGTAATGGACAACAGTGAAAATTTAGGGTAGGAAGTGACATCAGGAGCTCGACGTCGCTCAAGTGTGCTGCAGAATTCTGCAGCTGTGGGAGATCAGTTGATATGGTTAGTTTACCGTTCCTGGATTGGCTGAACCGGGGTCTGTGCAGAGATCACAGGTTCAGGATTCACATAAGCCTCGGGTTGAAGGAGTTCCAGTAACAAACCCTATTTAATAACATCTGCTTATAGAGTGTGGTCTCTTCAAATTGCCGAGGTGTTGGTAGATGCGTCCAATCTGATTACTTTTATACAAGTGTTTTTTTTAACAAGTTTGAGAAAGAAAACCAGGACATGGTGCTTTTTAAGGTGACTTGAGAGAAGTGACTGGATTGATCACAAACCAATCTTAAATTAGACAATCTGCAAAAGTGTCCAATGTTTTTGGTGTCACCCCCCCTTTTCACTCTTCTTCCCCCATGAAACTGGCTTTGGTTGAACTCTCCGTGTCGTCGTCACTGCTACGTCAACTCCTAAGCCTTATTTGTACAAGAGTCCTCACCCTTCTCCACTGTCAATCTCGCCCCATCCTGAATGGTCCCATCGATGCAATTTGAACATTCACTGCTACCAATGTGCCTTTTTAGAGTTCATATCATTCAAGTTACCAGAGGAGGACATTTACCTTTTAATAGGATGCAAGCTTAGGGAAACCAGTTCTTAGTCGTTAGGTTCTATGCAGTCAGGTTTTTTTATCAGACCTGGGAGTTTAAAAAATAAAAAGCTAAAAAGAAAAAAAAGTATTTTTTTGGATAAAAAAAAAACAAAACAAAACTGTATTTAATGTACTGTACACTTAAATGTAAGTAGACAGCGAGTTCTGGCTCAAAGCCAATGGGTCAAACACTTGATGAAACAAGTCGAGCCCAAATCCTGGTCCTCTTGTTCCCTTCGTTTCCTCCAAAAAGTCCTTCAACCCCCAACTCGAACCTCACTCTCCCGTTCTACCCGAACCCTGTTTCCATTGTGAACAATGCGTCTCTTCTTGTATTATAGCTTATCGGCTTTTTATCAATATTTGATGGGCTTGTCTGTAAGCCAATGTAGTCTTCAGTACAAAGTGTGTGGTTGTACGTTGTAAAACAAATTTTCTTTTCTCTCCCTCTCTCTCTCTCTCTCTCTCTCTGTCTCTCTCTCTCTCTGTTTTTTTAAGAACAATCTTTTACTCTTACTTTTTTGTCCGTTCTGGTTTACATGTCTGTTGCAGAAATTGTAAAAAAAAAATAAAATAAAATAAAAAAATAAAATAAAACAAAACAAAAAACAATACAGTTCTCTTTTCCGACGGAATTGTTTTCTGTCGGTTTCTTATTTTGACGTGGTTAAAAACCACGTCAGTTGGCGAGGTTCACAGACCACGTCAGGGAAACTGGAAAAGAATCTATTTGAATAAATCAATCTATATATAAATGTACAAAAAAGTATATACAGTATATGAGGAGGGTGCCGTTTTCTGTAATCTTTTGTGTTCTCGTGGGGAGGAATCACTTTCTCACAAAGACTAAACTGGCGGAAGTTGGCCGACACCCCGCAGTGTTCAAAATTTTCAACTGACTTTGTTGTGTTCTCCGTTGTTGCCACGAGTATGGCACCCCCTACAGGACATAAAATGGGACTGGAGTTCCTGAGCGGTTCTCACGACACACAGACATTTGTAAATTGTATGCAACAAATTGTCAAACCTTCCCATTATTTTGAAATTGTGTATGTAAAAGTTATATTTTTACATGTAGACTGTTGTTATTTTGTGTTTTAGGAATATGTTGTATCAGTTTTCTTTTTGTTAAAAGGTGACAAAGTAAAAAAAAAAAATTCAGTGTGTGTTGAAAAATGTGTCGCATTGAAAATGTAGTGAGATCAAATTTCCAAATCCATGTTTTTGACATTTATCTGTTGGGAACATTGTTAAATGCTCTAAGGGAGAAATCACAATTCATCGAGTATTCAATATACAGTATGTTTATTTTTCCCATGACATTACCATTATTTTTTTTTTTATTTTATTCTTTGCAGATAAATGTGTAAATACTCATGATGCATTTTCTGCGGTGTTAGGACCGACCAACAGAGGTGGCTATTGTTAAAGATGAGCTTGTTTTTTGAGGTGTAGTGCATACTTTGGTCAGATTACAGCAGCCAGGTGCCGACTTTTACTTTGACCGTGGTGCTTAGTACTTTTGATGTTTTGGTTTGACCTTTGGAGGTACAAGTTTAGGGTTGTTTTTAACTGGACCCGTCAGAGCAGATGCAAAGCCATTTGGGGTGTTAGGTGAAACCTTCTTGTTTGGAAAAGGCGCAAAACTGTCAAAACTACAGATGCCCCAACTGAAAACTGAACTCAACACAGTCTTGTATGTTCCGAGTCTAGATGGTTCCATTCGAAATTAAAATACTACTACTTTCTGTATAAACCACTGTATGAGTTACCTGCCACCTAGTGACTGGAGGCTTGTTTATCATTCACTTCTGTCCAGTGTACCACATTCCATTGGAAGCCTCTCATGTTCCGATTTTAACGCTCGAGTGAACTCTTCATAATCCATTCCATCGTAATGATCAGGTTGAGGCGTTATGACTGATTGCCAAACCTCAACCAACATAGATTGCTGGAACTGTGGCACATTCTTGACTGCGACATCACAATAGACAACAATATATATGTACAGCTAACCTGTGATACCCAAAGATTACCTGTATCGTGAGTTCACTGAAGCTCTATTGTGGATCTGGACATGCTCTGACTAATGTCCCTGTAAAGTGGCTCTGTTTAATAGATACCCCAGTGGAAAAAAAGGTCAAAATTATGAGCTGAACCTCTGTTAAAAATATTGGATATCACTAAATAAATGAGCAAGTCATCAGCAAACTGTTTACCAGCTACCCCCCAAAATATACATTTCCAAATACATTGAAATTGTTTCTTTTCCGTGTTTGAGACTAAAGTTGATCGGCTGCTTTGAATTGGACCTAGGTAAAACACCAGGACTGAATATTAAGACGTAAGTGCTAAATGTATTTTTTAAGTAATTTTTTTTTGGTTTTTTTTGTTTTTTTAAACAATGCTTCATTACATATTTTCTCTTTGTTGTATAATCAAATCCATCATCCAGGATTGCAGTATCTTCATTTTTATGTTACCCCTGATGTTTCTATTAGCCAAAATGTTAACATTCTTTTTATCGTTGCTTTCTTTTCCCCCTCCTTGTTGTACATACACACCTCATTTCTCTTTTTAAGTGACTGTGCCATGAGCTTTGTAATCTGTTACTCTGTACCAGTTTTACTGCAATAATGAGTTGAATTCAAAACTGCCATTTTTGTCCTTTGTTTTCACTGAGCTGTTGTCACCCTGAAGAGCGCCAACACATTTAAACAAGTTTCTTTTTTTATTATTATTATTACACAGAGTATTCTTTGTAGTTGTTTGTGGAAAAAAGTACCATAACAGGTCAGTGGAAATATTTATATATAATTTCTGTATTTTCCTGAGGGAAAGAAAATGACAGAAAAATCATACAAACAAATATTAAAAATGTATTTAAGGAGATAATTGGCAATTTTCAACACATTTCAATTAAACTTCTTCTACTAAAATATTTTGTGGTTCAACATGGACTGTCAAGGCAGATTAATATATGTTTTCTGCCTGTTACTGTGATGTAATTGGAGGTTGTTACTGGTTGCTAAACTGGACGTAAGCTAATGCTAACCAGATCAAGAAATCCTATGACCAACCTGGACTAGGTTACAGCAAGAAGATCATAGTCCTTCTGTATTGAGTTTGTTCTTGCTGAGTGGGTTTTCTACAGGTACAGACTTTGGTGTCTAAACAAAGTGACCTAAACTCTGACTTTTTTTTAAGAGAGTAAATTAAAACACCTGCACAAATGATTACCTGGAAATGTTTCCATTCTTGGAATAAATGTCCACATATGACGGGAATGCCACGTTAACTTACCCCATCCAACCTCAACCAGCCCGGACACGTTTGGCATCACGTCAGAGTCTCAGTTTAAGGGAAATGATCGAAGCGAGGTGGAGAACAATTTGTTGTTGACTCAGCGAGGTGGTTTCGTTCATTTATTCCAGTGTATGATGTCATTTCACCTCATAATAATAGAAAGGGGTTTTCTTTCAGGTATTAGTCATGAAGAGGTTTGGATTTGAGTGTCTGAAAGAAATAGTAAATCTATAGAATATTCCAGTCGGGTTTACTTGTGTTCACATGTCTGTCGTGTGTTATGATCTTTAAACCTCCAGCAGAATGTCTGAGCGTAGCTTTAAAAAATTAAAAAAACAGAAAGAAAAAAAGAATTTCACCAAAAAGCCTCTGGTCCGTCTCGTAAAAGTTCACCTTTTTTGGAGCTTTCATAATGGAAAGGAAAGTCCAGTAAATCACTCTAGGGTAGAGGAGGTCTGACCTCTGACCTGATCTTCTTTCAAACGGACCAGGTCACATTTTTTTTTCCACAGTGTTTTATGAACATTCCTGAACATCACATGGACTTGTTGTTAGGTCAACAATTCATGCTGCGTCCAGAATCAGTTCAGGCAGACAGTATTTGATTGACAGTTGGTCCATTCCTGTTGTCTGTCCCCAACTAGTGCAGGCTGGTGCGGGAATTGCAATATGTACAGAATCAACAAAACATCTCATAGTGTGTACAGTGATACTTCGGGTCATGGACTTAGTTTGTTCTTTGACTCCAAACGTCCAGTTAATCTGTTCTTTGGCCTGGAAACAGTTTTAAAGTATCAACATGGGACAATGACGAACGAATGTTATGCTAACCACTTGTTGTTTTATAGGTGCACAAGAACTGGCATGCTGCCTGATGAGTGGCTGGGTGTGCCATGCGTTTTGTGCATCTCATGCGCACAGGTGAGCAGCATTAGTAGTGGCGAGAATTCGTACAACGCATTTGCGAATGCTAAACGTTGTTGTAAAACGAAGCAAAATTTAGCAGAAAATGTTCAAAGTGGGATTTGTTCGTGGATAGGGACGTCCGTGAGCCGAGGTATCACTGTACTTGAAACTAGCGACCCCGTCCAAGATTTCACCCGAAATCTGCTCCTTGTCCGGCGTCATTGGGTCGACACATTTTACATCTTGTTTTTGATCAAACTTGAAACCAGATTTTGTTGAAGACGAGTGCCACAAAGGAACGACTGAGTTGTGTATCCGTGTCTGTGTCCATTCCTTATGTATGGTCTATGAAAAGTCAACACGCTCTGCTCATTCAGCTGCAGGTGCTCCTGTTGTAAGCCCTCTTCTATCTTACATAACTTTAAAAGCCTTTATCACCGAGTCTTCACTGTGAACTCTGCAGCAGATAAGAACAAACCCTGGACGAATCATCGTTTTACTGACCCCTCACCCCCACCACACATGTTTATGATAGGATTACTCTCTAGTCCTTGTACATTGTTGTACCTAATCTCAGGTTTGTTCCCTTTTTGGTCATTCATTGCATTGCTGAGGAAACTGTTCTTAAGTGAGGCACCTACTCAAACAAAAAAGTGGAGATAAAATGAACCCTCACTCACAAAGTTGGGTTTCGGTGCATTCATTTTGCTAAGACGATTCGCTGATTAAACACCCCACTTAAAGAATAACACATTTAAACACAACGTTTTTAGGTTTCCTAATTTCTAGCACACACTGTGCCCTTTAGTGACGACAGAGGCAAGAGTCTCCTGTTTTTCAATGTTGCCATATACTGAGGATATATACTGTATATATCCATCCATCCATTGAGGATATATACTGTATATATCCATCCACCCTAACAGGAATTCAAACTTGCCCAGGAGGTGAACCCTGGGGTTCCACACCAATGACAGAGACATTGCCTCTGGGCCAAAGCGCCACGATATATACAGTATATATGTATATATACATAACTATATAGTGGCGCTTTGGCCCAGAGGCAATGTTGGTACCTTCCAGTGGACTCACCACCTGCAGGAAGGTTTTGGGGGTTGGTACGGTGTTGTATGATTTGGGTGGCGGTCATGGAGACTGTTGCCCCCGCGACCCGGTAACGGATAAGTGGATGAAAATGGATGGATGGATGGATATTTGTCACTATTTAGAATTATGGGAATTTACAGATCCAGATTTCATTATTGATATCGGTATAACTGATTAAACTTATCGATTACAGATCCAGATTTCATTATTGATATCGGAACTGATTAAACTTATCGATTGTCAATTCTCAATTCTCACTGGGTTAGAAAATTTAAATAAAAAAATACAAATAGATTTCTTCGCATTAAATGGTAATTGTAAAATATCTACCAATATTTTGATATTTGATTGGGACACTATTAAAACTGCATGAATAAATAAAATCCTCTACAGAAATGAATATGTGTTGATGAAATACACCTGCAATTACAAATATATTCTATAATATATCTCACATTTACAATGTTTAATAACAAAGGATCATGTTGAAAACAAGAGTCCTTTCAAGGATCTTCTTGACTGTGGAGTTCTGTACCTGGGTCCGTACTACAGTTCTGAGGTTTGTCAGCTCAGCTCTTGTACGTATACGTAAATATTTGAGCAGTGCATGTTTATCAGTGTGGGTAGTAAAGGTGGTTTTATTGAGGCGCTCCCTTGCTGCAACATGTTTCATGTGGATCACGCCCAGACTACAGGTGACGATAACGGACATGTCCAGCTCTTCACTGTGGAATTCAAATATGAGGCAGGAGGAAGAAAAGGGACAGATTCAGAAACACACAGATATCTGTCAGGTTTACACTATCTTTGGCTTTTACTGTTTATTTAGTAAGCAGGAAATGTTTAGCTGCAGGTGGAGCTAAAAGGACAGCAAACAGGCCTCGAACATAGGTGTTGGAGAATCTTGGATTAGATTAGGTTAGATTAGATTAGATTAGATTAGATTAGATTAGATTAGATTAGATTAGATTAGATTTATATTTCTGTGCAACATATATTACCAAAGAGCGTTAGAGAGAAAATTATTTTTGTGGTCTTTATCAATGAATAGTAAGCAATATTATTTTGGGATTTGTTATTATTTAAAGAACTCTGTATTTATGTATTTTTTTCATCTTAGAAAAATATTTAGAAATCCATAACTGAAGCCACAAATGACCTTTGAATGAAGTTTTGACACTTTTTAAAAAAATATTTCAAACCAGAATTTGACTTCTATTAAATTTGCTTTTTTATAAATTACTTGGAAATATGGACATTTCCATTGCTCTGAGCCAGGGTTTTGACATTTTATTATTATTATTATAATTGTTATTATTCCAGACTGTCAAAATTCATATTTTCTCCCCTGCCTAAATCTTCTTCTACCCATCACAGGTGTTTTGATGGTAGATTCTAATCTTATTTTCTTGCTCATCAAATCTGTGGCTGTAGGTTTGACATAAGAAAAGCTTATACAGAACAATGACCCTGTGTCTGTCTGTGTGTGTGTATATGTGTGTCTCTGTGTGTGTGTGTGTCCACAGTCTAACCCATTGCTGGGTGTGTTCACCGCTCCACTGCAGAGGAATGTGAGGAGTGGTTGCCCGTCATGTTGCCCAACAGCCACAGCAACAGGGAGCTGGTTAACAAACCCACAGTCAGGACAGTGGACACAGACAGGACATTAAAATAAAAAGGAAGTGAATCCTTCAGCTCAAGGAAGCTTGACTGACATGGCAGCTGATTTCCTTCGAGATCGACTGTGGTCGATCTGGTTTGTGGAACAGTGAGTCCACCTCTGCTTTGGTTCATAAAATCGTCAGTAAATACTTTTCCCGAGTTCAAGGTCTCCACCCCTTTTTTCATGTCCTCTCAGACCTGCAGTGTTTGCTGCTCTGTGAAACAGGTGACGCTCATTTAAGATCCCGTTGCTGTGATTGAATCAAAATTTTTTCTCTCGGTTTGTTTCCCGCTGCTACAGAATATCACAATCTGTTGCTGTTTTACTCTGACAGACAGAGAGAGTATTCTGCTACAAAGAAGGTTCTACTACAGTATACTGTCTACTGTACCTGATGGATGAGCAGCCATGTTTTTGGTTTTGTCAATGATTGAAAAGAGGTAGTAAATGCTAACAAGGTAGCATGGGGAATTTAACAATAGATAGATAGATCGATAGATAGATAGATAGATAGATAGATGGATAGGTAGATAGATAGACAGATAGACAGATAGATAGATAGATAGATAGATAGACAGACAGATAGATAGATAGATAGATAGATAGATGGATAGATAGATAGATAGACAGATAGACAGATAGACAGATAGATAGATAGATAGACAGACAGACAGGGGATGGATGGATGGATGGATGGATAGATAGATAGATAGATAGATAGGTAGGTAGGTAGACTACATTTGAATTTTACAACAAAAGCTGTTGTTATTGCAGTGTTTGCAAAATGGAGAAGATAGATGGCTTGGAAGGCAGCTATGCTCACCACTATACCACCATCGCAATACAGATATGTGCGGGCCATCTAATCTCTGATAGGTTTAATGGGTATAGACAGAAGAACAGACGGATGGATTGGTGTGGGTGTGTTGTGCCATCAGAACATGGGAAAGTAAATGTCTCATTGGCTGAGAACATTCCTGACATTGTTTAAACAGTCGCACGTTGGTGCACTGGATTTTAAAAAAAAATGGGGTTATGTGTTGTCCTGTGTGTGTGTGTGTGCGCCGTCCTGGCAAAGCTATACTTCTGGAGCCACATTTTTGAGAAATGACTATTCTCGTATGAAATCTTAGCTTTGTGGGAATATTTTGTGAGTACCTACTGAGCGAGTGAGTACTTTTGTTTGTAATTGTAATTTAAGAGGTCGGAGTTAGGATTAGAATAAGAGTGGTGTGTATCTTATTATAACAAAAATAAGGTTGGTGTAAGGGGCGAGGAAATGCAATGAATAGTTGTGGTGATCATAAAACACCAAAACATGTATGTGTGTGAAGTCCTTGTGAGGGTATATAAATGATAAAAACTCTCTGGTGTGTCTCCATTTGTGCGTGTTGCTTTGATTTCATTGATGTTTGTCTCACCCCTTCTCTCCCTCTCCGGTTTCTCTCCCCTTTTCCCTCCTTGTGAAGCCCTGACAGGCGCAGCAGCCACAGCCAGGACCTTCACTGTGCTCGTGCACGTGTCGTGCACACCGTCACCTACCACATTCCCATTCTGCTGCAGGTGCTGTCGCAGGCCTTGGCCCCGCCCACAGGGCAAACTCAATTCAAGCAGAAAGTGTTCAGTCAGTGTCTGTCAGTTTGTCAGGAGCAGCGGGAGGACTAAGAGGCAACGTGAACAGGTAGGAGAAGATGACCAACCCACACTCCGCGTTCTAGCTTGTTCTGCGCTTGCGGTTCTTTTCTCCGTCGCTTTGAAAACGTCTTTAAGCTTTAGCTTTAGCTTTAGGTGTAAACAACTGCTGCTTTTCTGCGGCCAAGGAAAGTTGACTTCTGTTTGTGAGCTTCGTCAGGTAGTGCAGCTGAACACACACTTGCTGCTGCTTCTGTTGTCAGTGCTCCAGGGTAAAGGTACTAGTTTACCGGGGAGTTATGTTTTTAGACTGAAAATACAGATACAGAGGCTCTGACAGAATGGAATTGTGAATGAAACATGTCTTTGGTTGTGGGGACAGGTAAAGTTCCATAATTAGTACTCTCTAATCAGGGCTGACTGAAGGTCTCAGAAAACAGTCAGGACGAGTTCAAGATACCGAGAAAGTTGCGTCACAGTTGAAGTTTAATAACCTGCCACGAGGAAACACTGTAAAGTAATAAATAAATACATATATATTGTTGATTATATATCAACAATATATATATATAAAGTCACTGTGAGCATTATCATCATTATTAGTACAATCTCTGTCAAATGACTCAATATTCTCTGAGAGCTTCTGAGAGAAACTGAAATCAAACAGGAAACCTTCAGGTTCTCGGACGTCTGGTGCAGGGTCAAACCTTGGTACAGTGTAACAATGTGACTCACATTTACTTCCTGCCATTACCTGGGAAGGTTACCATCACGTCAAACCATTTGTGGTTGTTTATTGGAACTATTTATTGGCTGAACTAATGCAGTTTACGGACACATTTCTAGTGCAGTTTGTGGGTTATTTCTTTGGCTACCACATTGTTATTTCTTGGTCTACCTTTTAGATGCTTGTATCTGGCTTTTTTTCTTGCCTTTTTGTTTTAGTAGTGATGCTTTTTAGAGTCTGGTGAGTACAGTAATCCTGCAGGAACTTCTTCAGGTGGTTAAAAAAAAACGAGTATTTCTGACCTTTAAACAGCTGCTGAAATGTTTGGTAAAATTTGCATTGACAGGTATATTACCACTTGAACAGGGTCCCGCTGTAGAAGAAGTACCTGACTCTAGAACTGATTTATACTTTTAGACAAGACTTTTTGACTGGAAACTGAAGTTTTTGTCACTTCTTTTAACTGACTCTACACTACTGATCCGAAACCCATAGAGATAAGTTGTGTTTTTGTTTCAAGGTGGCACATAGTCTACGCTCTTTTTCTTTTTATTCGTAGGTTGCCTCACTTTGGTGCTTTAAGAATTTCAACACATACACCACATATAAACATATATGATCTTGAACTGATGCGGACAACAGCAGATGAGCCACTCCTGTAAGCTGAAATGTCAAATCGCTTATTTGCTCTATGGAGTTTGGTGTAGTAAAATGAAACAAACAATAGTTATTTTTATGAAATCAAACTAAAAAAAGGTACCTAACTATTTTCAAAAGCAGTTTTAAAGTTGCCCACTTCCGGGATTATTACGATGACCTGGATGACTGAGAATATCCACAAATATGTCCCTAAATATTCTTAAAGATCTTTTGAAAATTATTTTAACTTTCACTGCTTTGGTAGGCTAATGGGTGAAGTTGGCCCTATCTGCTTACTCTAATGTGATTGACAGAAACGTGAAAAAATTTAAACGAAAATCAGTGCAGGATCCGACTTGATCAAATGACATGAGATCAACTATTGATCTTGGTGATGAAATTTTACCATTGCTTGTTTTCCTATAAAGACAAATAGGGTTGTACCCAGTACTGTGCTGTGATAAGAGCAGATGTTATCTTTACTGCTGCAGGGCGGAGGCTGCAAATGTCACTCACATAGGCTTAGCCCGGCAAAGTCAGTTACCCTGTCATCAATAACTGGTTCATTAATGACATTTTTAACCGTTATGACAGCACACATTCTCCTCTGGTTGTTAGGATTGATAGTTTCGTTGTAGGAAGCATGCAAGAAGTCTTTGACTGTACTGTAGTCACCGACTCTTCCTTCAGTTCTTTTGCGGTTGTTGTTGTTGTTATGAAACAGTTAAGGGTTTTTCTCCCTGTAGCTGTTTGGATATGAAGATTGAAACCTGTTTGTGTGTGAACAGTAACGAACTAATCATTTAATCAGACTTTTATTTGTTATTTGTTGAGCAAGAGCAGGTCTCCTTCAGGTTTAGGGGCCAGTTCCCTGGTTGATTGACAGATAGATTCAAAATTTCTAATTGAAACGTAATGGATTCCAATGTCAGTAGCAAAACAGCAATAAAACAACATTTATACATAAAATCTCTTAAATTTGACAAAACACTTGATTGCGTCGAATCCTGTGCTACTAGTAAATGGCGTTCGCTACTGCTCCTGAAACTCTTATTCTACAGTTTAAACTCACACTCCTTACATTGTTTGTTACCTTGGCACTCGTGGCAGTGCTAGCAAAACAGCGATTCGTTCCATAGCTTTTACCCCCAGCAGCTCCCAAGCAGCCGGGGGATGAGCAGGGCACATGGGTAATGAGAGGCATAGTCCTAAGCCTAGCCTGGTTAACCACTGTGTTCTGCTTAGGTCACCACTCTGGTGATTGGCTAACAGCTAACTAACATAAATTCAGTAAAGTTACTATCCTTTAGTTAGTTAGTATTGGAGATCACTAAATAATATTGGGTTGGTGTGTTATTAAGCCAAAACAATGTTGGACACCGTAATATTCTGTGGGCCCCATGTTTAGTTGCATGTTATTGGTTGTTGAGATGGTGCTTTAAAAACATTGCTTTCACTAGTAATTGGCAGACGTTTCTCTGCGTTTGCCAATGAGATTGTATCCACCCAACTTTAGATGGAGCAAGTTTCTTGGGAACACAATTTTCTAACAATGCAGAGATTCCACCCAACTTTAGATGGAGCAAGTTTTTTGGGAACACAATTTCCTAACAATGCAGAGACCAGAACACACTACACTGTCTAAACTACAGTTAACAATAAAGATGGAGGAGGAGTTACTGCAATTTTCAATTCTAAGTTATTAAACAGTTCTAAACCTAGACCTAACTGTAACTTCTTTGTAAGCTTAACTCTAAGCTTATCCTATCCTGGCTGGAATTTTTTTTTTTTTTTTTGGTGCCTAGCAGCAGTGTTTTAACTCTAGTGTTAGCTATTGTGGAACTACAGTACGATGTTACTTATGTCTTCCTAAAGGCCTTGATCTAATGGTTTTCCATCAGTGTATATGAACAGTCGAGGAATGTTAAAAGCCCAACTAAACTAGTCTGTTAGCATCCAGGGTTGTCAACTTGTGTCTCTGCGTTGTCTGTCAACAGCTTAATTGTTTTACTCCCTGACCAGATTTCTCTGCCTGAAGTCTCCTCGCCATCCCTTGTTCTTGTTTCTCTGGCTTCACATCATTTTATAGATGCTGTAGATTTGATTTGTTTCTGATATTTTCTTTTTGGTTTACAAACTAAACAGTTCAAGAAAAACTTTTTTTTTTTAAATGCATCATTAGTTTAGTTCATGGGTTAAAAAAGTAAACACACATCTTGTCTTATTTGGTCAAATATAATTTACATATGTGCCAAAGCATAACTTAAGGTTTGCTCCCGTATCTGAATGTAAGCCAAATGTAAAATGGATGTTAGTCTTCAAAAGGTATAAAACATAGCAAAAAGGCTAACAGTTAATCAAACCATCTCAAACCTAGCAAAACATTTTGCTCAAACGTAGCTTAACTAAAGCATCCCTGAAAATAGATTTTAGATTTTAATAAATTAGAAGTTGGCCGACATCTTCGTCTAAAATCAATCATCAATATATAAAATTAAAATTAAAACCAAAGAACTAAAGCTTTAATTTTGCTAGAATGAAGCGAAACTGAAAGTGAAAGTAAATAGCTTGAATTGATAATTGAGTATTGAAGGTGTGTATGGGGGGATGGAGGGGTTACACACATATAACCTTTAGAGTTTGTTCTTGGTTTGTGTCCGTGTGTACAATCCACATGTATTTACACACACATTCTGTCAGTAGTTAAATGTACCTTACTTTACATTTCACCTGTAGCTGAACCCTGTGAACAACATCTTACGACAATTTAGGAAAAATGCCTTTTTTTTTTACTTTTTTGGAAGCATTTTTCATTGAATATACAGTACCATTTTACATATATATGTGTATATATATATATATATATGAATATATATATATATATAATTGTTTTTATTTATTTATAGTCTGTCAGTTGTGCTCTAAAATTTCTAGATTTTTTTAAAAAAACTTTTTCCCCCCCTTTAATTATTTAATTGGAACATCTCTGATTCCATGACAACCACAGGCCGACAGACCTGAACACAGACTCACAGAAGTCACTCACTCTGTCTTTGTCCTCTGTGTCTCCTCTTCTATAATCTACCCTCATGTGCTACTGAAGAGCTGAGGCCCTTCTGTCACTTGACACTAATTTTAGTGACAGTTTGGTATCTTATTTATCTGCATTAACTTTCCTTCTTTCACATGGACACACACCCTCTTCCACCACCCCCCACACCCCTGCTGATGTCTTCTGATGGGACAGCATTCTTTGCTTTGACTTAGACAGTCAACCAACCGGACCAACAAGTTAACACACTTAGACAGTCAACCAACCGGACCAACGAGTTAACACAACTCCCTCTCTCGCTCTCTCTTTCTCCACCTCTCTCACCCTCTTTTTAGCTTTCCCCACAAACATTTGACAAGAATGTTTCCAGATACAGAACATGTAAATTAACTAACTTCACCCCTTGACAATTGAACTTTTACATCTGTAATACTGTATTGTATTTGGGGGTGTAGTGGCTTAGTGGTTAAGGAAGCGGACTTGGGTACAGAAGCTTTCAGGTTTGAGTCCACCAGCCGCCAAGTTACCAGTGAGGTGCTCTAAGCATGGCACTTCCCGGGCGCTCAAAGCTGCCCACTGTTCACTTGTGATGGGTTAAATGCAGCGGTCAAACTTTGTTGTGTGCAGTGGC